GGGGAAAGGCCACGCCTGGTATAGAAGCACTTTCCTGCTGCGGCCACCAGGCTGACATTGCTCAACCCTTGGCAGCTTTGTGGTGGAACAGGAGCTGGAAGCAGGGTTGGCGGCAGAGGTGGATCTGATGGAGTAGATGACGGCGAGTGACAAGGGGCCACCTCCCATAGTGGCAGTGGAGTGACCGTCATGCGATGGCATTTGGCCTCCCTGGGAAGGTGGGTGAGAACAGGCTCGTTCGCCGTAGATGTTGCCGAGAGCCAGGCTTGGCTCGAGTCCAATGTGAGGTAGTAAGAAGGCCCTTAGCTTTTGGTAGCCCTGCTGGCGGACAGATAAAAGTGACTTTTATTGCCAGCCAGGTCAGGAGGGCAGGGTGGAGGTGGCCTGCGACTGAGAGAGGAGTCGTCTGACATGGGTGTGGGCCCTGTCTCTGCCAGTCTTCGGAGGCAAAGGGCACAGCAGCCTCTCTGGCCTGGCTGTCTGTTCCTGGATGCGCAGTCCCTCTGCCTCAGTGGCCCAAGTGGATTTCAGGAGAATTTCGTGGGCAAAGCCTGTAATCATCAGAGTCGCACCCAGGGTGATGCAACTGCTACTGTCGGGTGCAGGGAGCTTTGGCTGGGCCTCCCCTTCAGCCAGGCCCTTGCCTCCGACTCTGCCCTCTGGAATTTATGAGTGGCGAGGCCTGCTACACTGAGTGTAAGGTGTGCAGGATCTGCTGGTGCTCCAGACGTTCGCACCTTTGGCACCGGCTGCCCTTTCTTTCCCAGGTGGCCCCTAGCGGAAGTACCCCATGTCCATTACTGCTCACAGCCACAGAGGCTGCCCAAAGCAGATGCCTTACAGGATGGGAGACTGAGGGAGAAGGTTCAGAGAGGGACGGGCTCTTGCCCAAGGGCGCACGGGTCTGATTGAGTCCTGATCCAGGATCTTTTTTTTTTTTTGAGACATTTTGTGTGCCAGACTGGGAGTCCAGTTGTTCGGGATTCTTGGCTCCCGCAACCTTTGCCGTCTTGGGGTCCAGCCAATGTTTCGCTGGGCCTCAGCCTCCCAAGTAGCTTGGGACTACGGAGGCGCATGCACCGTGGTCCAGCTAATTTTTGTATTTTTAGTAGAGATGGGGTTTCGCCATGTTGGCCAGGCTGGTCTTGAACTCCTGACCTCAGGTGATCTGCCCATCTTGGCCTCCCAAAGTGCTGGGATTACAGGTGTGAGCCACTGCGCCCAGCCCTGATCCAGGATTTTCTCTGGGTGCTTTGTGGCAGTGTAGCCAAGCACTGCATCACTGCTGATGGAGTCCGAGTCCATATCAGGGCCCTGCTCAGCATTGTGCAGGCCTGGAGTCGGGGGTCGTGAGTTCAAGTCTTGGCTCTGTCAGCCTTGCTGCACGTTCATGGGCCCTTCTTTGCACCTCCCTGGACCTCAGACCCTTCATTTCTGTGTCCTGCCTGGACAGGGTGACTTCTAGCAACAGCTGTTGTTCATGGCCACCTGCCCAGATGCCTCGTGCCTCACCTGGGGCCACTGCTGGAAACTGTCTGTGTGGATCTGTGTATCTTGGTTCCAGGTGGCTGTGCACGTCGGGCTCTGTGCTACCCCACGGAGCAGAGAGCCCTCAAGGCACATGTGTCACCCAGCTACTCCTGCCATCCAGGCTGGAGGTCTGGGAGGGCAGAGTCACTCCGGAGGTCAGCTGAGTGCCCACAGCAGGACAGAGCTCCCCGGCTGGGCGAGGTTTGGGTGTCTAGCCAGGAATTGCAGGTCTGCAGTTCCTCGCGGGGCTGCCAGGGAGCTGGGCTTTCCCCTCTCTTGTGACCCAGAGAAGATGGAGCCCAAGGTCATGGAACCCATTGACTCCCACTCCCCAGTCCCACCCATTCTCCCTGTCCCCCTTTCCTTGAGCCCCTGGAAGAGGCCCCGAATTGGTCAGTGTTCTCCAGAGACAGAACTGATAGGATCTATGTATCTATGTATGTGTGTGTGTATCTCTCTCTCTCTCTCATCTATCTCTCTCTCTCTATCTATCTATCTATCTGTCTATCTATCTATCTATCTATCTAATCTATCTATCTATCTATCGGCTGGAGTGCAGTGGTGTAATCACGGCTTACTGCAGCCCCGAACTCCTGGGCTCAAGCGATCTTCCCACCTCAGCCTCCCAAGTAACTGGGACCATAGGCACACACCACCACACCTGGCTAATTTTTAAACTTTTTGCATAATAAGGTCTTGCTGTATTGCCCAGGCTCATCCTGACCTCCTGGGCTCAAGCAAACCTCCTGCCTCAGCCTCCCAAAGTGCTGGGATTACAGTGTAAGCCACCATGCCTGGATCCATCGATCTATCATCTATCTGTCTGTCTGTCTGTCTGTCTACCTACCTGCCTACCTACCTACCTATCTACCTATCATCTATCCATTCAAAGAGGGGATTTATTAGGGGAATTGGCTCATGTGATTATGGAGGCTGTAAAGTCCCATGACAGACTGTCTGCAAGCTGGAGACCCAGGGGTGGCAGTAGGGGTAGCATGGTTCAGTCTGAGTCTGAGGGCCTCAGAACCAGGGAAGTCGATGGTGGAACCCTCAGTATGGTATTGAAGGTCTGAAAGCAGATGGAGGGTAGGGGGTGCTGGTGTGGTTCCTGGAGTCCAAAGGCTGGAGTTTTGATATCCAAGGACTAGAGAAGCATGTGTACAGCTCCAAGAGAGGGAAGCAGGGGGAGAAGGAGAGAGGGATGGGAGGAGGGAGAGAGGGAGGGAAAGACAGGAGGGAGACCCTTGCCTCTGCCTTTTTGTTCTATCGGGGCCCCAGCTGACTGGATGGTGCTGGTCCACGTTGTGGGCAGGCCTTCCCCACTCAGTCCACTTACCCTCTGCCAGTCTGGAAACACCTTGACAGACACACTCCATAGCTCTTGAGGAGTTCCTGAGTCCCCTTGGCACTCAGCTCTGGCGCCCCTTGCCTTCTCCATGATGCCCACCCTGGCATCTCCATGACGCCCACCCTGACATCTCCTTCCCATCCTGCCATCCTCTGGTGCCTTCCTGTTGCCCTCCCTGCCCGATGCCCTCGACGGACCCATCCTCGCCACCTCATCTCACCCTTGCCTTGCCTTGGGCTGCACCGGAACGGCTCCTGCTGAGACGCCATGACCTGGCTAAGTCCAGGGACGCCTGCACTCTCTTCTTGTCCCTGAACCTCTGTGACCCCTAGCGGCTAACCACTTCCAAGCCATGGCTTCAGTTACTACCCCATCCTGACTGCACCCAGGGTGACCTCAGCCACGGCCCTCTCCTGCACATCCAATCTGCACGGCGTGGTCGCGAGTGTTCCTGGCATGTCCCCACTCCCACTCCCCCAGGGACCTGGGCGCTCTGAAGCTGAAGATGATAGATCTTTGCAATCTTTGCAAAGAGCGTGGGTTGTTTTCTCCTGGCAAGGAGTTAGTCAACTGACCTTCTTAGGTGGGTGCAGAGTAGACCCATTCCTAAGACAAGGCTTCTGGGGGGCCACTGGAGGCTGGGGTATTCAGTGAGGCCTCTCTGCCTCAGTGGGTTGGGACTCCCAGCCTATGCCACCTCTGGAACTCCTTGGGTGCAAAGCTCCAGAAGCTACTGTTTTCAGAACTGTCACGGGGCTCCTGCTCTAGCAAAGCTTCTCTGGGCCCCGGGCCTTTGGCAGGAGCCCCTGTACCAGCAGTGTGGGCGTCTCGGGCTCCCTGAGTGCCATTCTCTGCTCGTTCAGCTCCTTGGGGGTCCCTCAGCCCCGCGCTGCAGTCCAGCAGGTGCCTGCAGGCAGGTGAGGTGACCTGGGGCTCCCTGCATCTGTTTCCTCCTTGAGTCACGCCTGTGCTGCCCGTGCTCAGCTACCTCATGCACTGCCCAGTTTTTAGTTACTTCCAGCTGGCGGCTCCCGGGCCTGTAAGCTTTGGGCCTGCTCTTGTTAAAACAAGCCAGGGCCAGGTCATTGCCCCAAGACCAGCTCTTACTCTCAGAGCACCTTTAATGACAACAGCACCAGCTCGTGCCTACTGAGCGCTGGCACCCCCCGGGCTCAGACTATCGTGCTGGCCTCCCCACAGCCTGATGGACATAGAGGAACGGCATCCCCATTTCCCAGATGGGAAGACGTAGGCTGGGGGGGCCCCTGCTGTTGGCCAGGTCATGGCTGGGGATGGGCCCCTGAGGCTGGTTGGGACCTGCCTGCACTAGGCCTCCTGCCAGATGCGCCAAGTTAGAAACAGCCCAGAGTTCACGTAGAGGGGACTTAGGGGCATGCTTGTGGGATGGGCCAGCCCAGTGGCTGTTTCTGGGCTCCCAGCGGCTCTGGAGGCCCCAGCACACCCATAGGAGACAGGACCAGCCCATAACTGGGGCTGGGTGAGGGGCTGGCAGGGTGGGCACTGGTGTCCTTCTGTGTGCAGGTTTCTCCTCTCTGGTGGTCCAAAGTGGAGTCCCTGAAGGCAGGCTGGGGCTTGGAGGGCAGCTGAGTCCTAGGAGGTGCCGAGGAAAGCAGGAAGGGCACGGGGCTCCCTGAAGGTGGGCTGCACAGGGCGTGGGGAGGGACTCTGAGGCCGCACCACACAGGGAGAACTTAGTATCTCTGTTTAGCAGATGGGGAAAGTGAGGCCCACTCTCCAAGGTCAGGGCTGCCAGGCTCTGTCGTGGCTCTCGCTTCTGAAGGGTGCAGGAGTGGCTGATGCTTGTCTGCACCCAAGAGCTGGAGGCCTGGGCTGGCCCTCCCCAGAGCTGCTTGCTTGTGGCTCACCTGGCACAGGTGTGGCCTGCCCCTCCCTCTTGCCCCAAGGCTTGGCCTCCTTCCAAGGGGAAGCAGCAGCTGGTTGCCTGTGGAAGGGGGACTGGGAGCGGGGCCGGGCTTAGGGTGGGAGTGGGGCTGGAGCTGGCCGGCCCCCAGGTAGGTTGGCTACTGCCCTGGGGGCAGGGGCGTCCCTGGGTAAGAGGGAGGCAGTGGGCAGTGGTGCCCTTGGACCTGCGGTCTCAGCCTACATCCAGGCACACAAAGGGGACTTCGCATGCGACTCCTCAGCCCTGTGCCTGGGCCAGAGCCTTCCTGAGTGGGAGCTGCCAGTAGGTCCTCCTTGCTTTGCCTGACAGGAGACATTGCTTCCCTGCCTGGGACCACTTTGCTGCGGGCGCTGGGCCCCGACCTCTGGGCTGAGGCCCCCAGTGTGCCTGAACTGAGGCATAGCCTCTGAATCGTCCCCGCTGGCCCGGACCTACTAGGTGGGAACAAGCTGGGATGAGGCCTGGCTCAGGGAGCAGCAGGGCCTGGCTGCCAGTGTGGGCTGTATGTACCTCTGCGGGAGTCCTGACTTCTGAGTCTGGCGGGATGAGGCTCGGTTGGGGGAGGGGAGCAGCAGGCCCTCGAGGGACAGGGCCTGTGTGCAGGGGCAAAGGGACCAGCGAGGTTTGCTGGCCACTCCTGCCTTCTCACCCCGTGGCCACCGCAGTGGAAAGGAGCGTGCGGAGGAGGGTGGGGTGCAACCCCACTGAGCAGGGCCTCACACCTCCCTGTCTTCCTTGCAGCTAAGTACCCGGCCATCAAGGCCCTGATGCGGCCGGACCCGCGCCTCAAGTGGGCGGTGCTGGTGCTGGTGCTGATGCAGCTGCTGGCCTGCTGGCTGGTGCGCAGGCTGGCCTGGCGCTGGCTGCTCTTCTGGGCCTACGCCTTCGGAGGCTGCGTGAACCACTCGCTGACGCTGGCCATCCACGACATCTCACACAATGCGGCCTTTGGCACGGGCTGCGCGGCGCGCAACCGCTGGCTGGCCGTGTTTGCCAATTTGCCTGTGGGTGTGCCCTATGCCGCCTCCTTCAAGAAGTACCACGTGGACCACCACCGCTACCTGGGTGGTGATGGGCTGGACGTGGACGTGCCCACGCGTCTGGAGGGCTGGTTCTTCTGCACGCCCGCCCGTAAGCTGCTCTGGCTGGTGCTGCAGCCTTTCTTCTACTCGCTGCGGCCCCTCTGCGTCCACCCCAAGGCCGTGACCCGCATGGAGGTGCTCAACACGCTGGTGCAGCTGGCGGCCGATGTGGCCATCTTTGCCCTCTGGGGGCTCAAGCCCATGGTCTACCTGCTGGCCAGCTCCCTCCTGGGCCTGGGCCTGCATCCCATCTCGGGCCACTTCGTGGCTGAGCACTACATGTTCCTCAAGGGCCACGAGACCTACTCCTACTATGGGCCCCTCAACTGGATCACCTTCAACGTGGGCTACCACGTGGAGCACCACGACTTCCCCAGCATCCCAGGCTACAGCCTGCCCCTGGTATGTGGCTGGGGCGGCAGGGCTGTGGCAGGGCAGGACTGCACGGCCATCTGAGGAGGTGGAGGCCCTGGAAGGGCCTTGGGTCATACCCAGCAGCCTCTCCCTTTTTGTGCTGGTCATAGCATGGTCACTTGCACTTGTCCCCAGGACAGGAGGAAAGGCCACACAACACAGGCGAGTCCTCTGCTGGAGGCTGAAGCAAATTCAGGGAAGTAGGGTCTGAGAGGCATTTCACAGTTCAGGCTGCCTGAAGCCGCCATGACACTGACGGGGTGTCTTCCTTGAAGCGGGGCGCATAGCAACACTGCATGAGGAGCACTGCCCTTCCCATCTGCAGGCTCTTTCCCTGTCATTCCTCGCCATTGCCCTGTGACCCTCCAGGGGCCAGAGAGGACAGGGTGGGCCTCGCTCTTTGCAGCCCAAAGGGGTTGGCCAGAGCTGATGGGGAGTGGAAGTCCCAGGTATGGGCACCTCTGCCTCGGGAGACCGGGAGCTGGAGAATTTCTGAATGAGAAAGGAGGCAGGGGAAGGGGGAGGAGGAGCCGTCCCTCAGCCATTGCCAGCCTGCGTCTTGGTAGCCTCTGGCTGTCTGGAAAGAGCTGGAGTGACCTGCAGGCAAAGGGGGCGGGAGGAGGTGGCACTAGGGAGGTGTTCGAGCGCCTGAGTGTGCGCCTGTGTGCACCGGGGTGTGCCTGTGTCTGTGTGTGAGCATGTCTGCCCTGTGACGGTGTGTGGATGCCTGCCCACGTGTGCAGGCATTTGTATGTGTGCTTGAGCGTGCGCGCCCGTCTCTGTGTGTGTGGTTATGTGTGAGCGCTTACCCGGGTATGCAGGTGTTTGTGCATGTGTGTGCACCCTGGCTTGTGTGACTCTGGAATCCCTCAGACCGAATTCCAAGCCTGGGCCATGGTACTGCCATTCCGGCTGGCAGTACCAAGGCGGTGCTCTGCACCAGGCATCATCTCACTTGAACCTCACCACAGCCCAGGAAGCAGCTGCCTCCTCATCCATTGTCCCTGTTGTATACATAAGGCAGAGGTGCAGGGAGAGAGGTGCCCGCCTCAGGAGGTGATGGGGCGGAGGGGAGAGGTGCCTGCCTCAGGAGGTGATGAGGCACAGGGAGAGAGGTGCCCATCTCAGGTGACAGGGTGCAGAGGGGAGAGGTGCCCATCTCAGGAGGTGGCAGAGCAAGAATCCGGACCCAAGTTGGCGCGAGTGCCTGCTGTTAGCCACGAGCCTTTACCTCTCCTGAGCAAAGTGAGAGGCTCTGGGTACCTGGTGCTGGCCCCGCCTCCTGTGGCCCTGCTGCCCTGGCTTTGCGGCCGGGCTCCCTGCGTCCTGAGAGCATCCTTAGGAGGTGACGGGGCGCAGAAGGGGCAGGAAGGGCATCCCTGTGGTGGAAGCTGGGCCAAGGCTGCATGCTGTTGAGCAATGGGGTGGCGTGGTGGTGGTGCAATTGCAGGTGCTGAAGCTGGGAGCACTTCCTGGAGGAGGTGGGTGGGGGTGTGTGTGTAGAACAAAGGCTGGAGGGGACAGCAGGTGCTCAAGAGGCCCTTGGAATGTGATAAGCAGTGAGGCTGGCTGAGGCCGAGGTTGGCAGGTCACAGGGCTGAGATGCATGGGCGTGACACCGTGGCTTGGCAGGACTCAGGTAGGCACTCAGCACTGTGCAGGCACCGCGGGGAGAACCCCCCCCAGCGGTGGGGTCTGCCAGACCAGAAGGTGGGGTGGGGCCAAGTGGAGTGGGGCACTGAATTCTGCAACTACCACCTGGGGCAGGCGCTCCGAGCCGAGCCTGTGGGTGCCTCTGCCATAGTGTCCTGGGCTCAGCTCAGGCCACCAGGCCCTCCAGCAGCCAGCACCAGCCTTCTGGGCACCCAGGGAGTGGTAGGTGGCAGGGAGGGCCAGAAGGGTGGCCTTGTGTTTGGCTGAGCTGGACGTGGGCACCCCAGAGGCGACAATGTGTGTGCATTACGGTCACCCGTGTGTGTGTGTGTGCACGCAAACATGTCTGTACATGAGTGTGTGTGTGCACGCCCGCCACGTGTGCTCGGGTGTCTGAGTGTGCTCACGGGTGCGGCCCCGAGGAGAACCAGCCCCTCAGCCCCGCCCTCCTCTCTACAGGTGCGGAAGATGGCGCCCGAGTACTACGACCACCTGCCGCAGCACCACTCGTGGGTGAAGGTGCTCTGGGATTTTGTGTTTGAGGACTCCCTGGGGCCCTACGCCAGGGTGAAGCGGGTGTATAGGCTGGCAAAGGACGGCCTGTGAGCCCGGGCTGCCTCCTGGTGGCGGTCATCGTCCCCCACCGGCCCCTTGGCCTCACGCCCCAGCACCGAGGGGCTGCGTTTCCTTCCTGTACCCTGGACTGCTGCCCTTGTCCCCGAGGAGTGTCCTGGGCAGCCACACCTGGAGACAGCAGTGTGGGCTTCAGGGCTCCACCTGCACGTGGAGTTGCCCTGGACCTTCAGCGTGGCCCTCCCTGTCTGGGCCTCACCAGGTGAGACCTGGCCCTGCCCCATCGTGACCTGCATGCTCTGAGCCCACGGTCCCCACGGAGCTGACTTCTCTGGGGTGCCTGTGCCCTACATTAAACCCAGCGTTTCTTTCACAGCCCGTGGATTGTGCTCTGAGGGGGTGGTCTGGGCTTGAGCCTGGCCACAGGGAATGGGGCGCTAGGCCACCCCAATGGGTGGAGCTTGAGGCCTGAGTGCCGCTTCCTCCAGGCCAGGCCCAGGTCCTGCCACGCACTCCTGGCTCTTTGTGGGATGGTGGCTGCTGCTGGGTGGTGCTCCCTGAGGGCCTGCCACTGTGATGTGCACACACACTGAGGTGTGGACAGCAGAAAGCTCACTTTGGTCATCTGTGTGGCCCAGAATCCCCTCCTAGCAGCCCGGGGACCCCACTGCTCCCTTGCCTGGCTAAGCCCTGCAGAGGCTGGCTCCCCCATCCCCTGAGCCATACCACCTGCCTCGCCCACACCCCTCAGGCCTGTTCACCTCCTGCTCTCCCTATCCCCTCCTGCAGCGGGGAGCATCCCTGAGCCCAGAGAGGGTCTGTACCCCATACCAGCTCGGAAAAGGGGCTGGCGTGGGGTGGGTCCTGATGTCCCAGAGGTGGGCAGGCAGCAGGAGGGGTCCCTGGGTGAGGCCCTCCCTGCCAGAGAGGGATGGAGTGGGCCCAGCCCTGCAGCTCCCACCACAGCCCTAGGGAAAGGCGGCGTCAGCCTCCACGACTTAGGAAGGGAGACTGAAGTTATAGTCAGGGCTTGAAGGCCTCTCCATGAGTGGGGTGCCAGGGGCCGTCCCTGCTGACCTGGGAGATACAGGCCTCCCCCTATACCTGGGAGTGGCCCCACATGGTGCTGGGCTCCTGTGTCCCTGAGTGGGCAACTTGCTGAGTGGCGCAGGGAAGGGGCCTGAGCCCAGGACTTGTTCTGCGAAGGAAGTGCCGCTGGCCCCAGCACCAGGACTTTGAGCCGGGCAGCCCCTCCCTGTGCACACAGGCACGCCCACAGGCCGAGGGGAGCCCCAGAGCACCCACTCCTCCTGCTGTGCCTGACAGGCGCCTCGTCCGGCACACTTCTGCAGACAGCGCAAAGGGACATGTCCCGGCCTCACCCACAAGCTGGAGGCTGGGCCCAGGGTCGGAGGGTGGCTCTGAAGACAGTCCTTAGAGCTCTCCTGGGGAGACTACAGGACTCCTGGCCTGGGGGGCAGCAGGGAAGCAGGAGAGAGCAGCTCTGAGCTGTGGTCTGCAGGCCCTGGGTTAAAAGTGCCACCAGACCTAAGCGAAGCCACTCAGAGAGCTGAGCCTCCTAAGGGGCAGAGCAGTCCTATTACTGTTGCTAGGGCTGCCAGGAAGCCCAAAGACATGCAGTGTGCTAGGAGCTGGCCCTTGAGATCAGCCACTGGGTCCCCCCAGCAGGCCAGTGCTGGCTCCCTCCCGTGCCATGGCCCTCGGGAACTGCTGGGCACACTGCTCTGTGGCCGTGGGAGGTCATGTGGGAGAACTAGGGGCATGAATGGTCACAGGCTCTCAAAGCCTGCCTGTTGGTGACCCTGGGTCCTTGAAGCCGAGGGTCAGAGCCTCTGTCTCTGGCAGGGGCCTGGGACAGCCCATTGCAGGCCAGGTGGTCCTCCCAGGAGACTGTGGGGCTGAGAAGGCAAAGCTGCCTTGCATCTGCCTGGTGCCTGCGGAGCCCCACGTCCGTCCCTGCCCCGAACAGGTTGCTCGCAGGGCCCTGCCCGTCAGAATGCACACAGAGGCCTGTGAGGTTTGGGGTGTGGGCTGCACTTAAGAGCCATCTTTCTGGGGGTCCCATAGGGAGTTCCCTACAGACAGGACCTGAAGCCCAGCCCCAGGACACCAGCCCACCCAGCCGGGGCTTGGGAATGTTTGAGCCCAGGTTCCTGTTGGAGACTACCACCTTGCTCCTACCTACGACTCCTGGTCACCGTGCTCCCGGGCGCTTCCCTGAAAAGGGGCATCCCCAGCCTGCAGCGTGAAGGATCAATGCGAGGGCCTGAGCCCGAGGGTGCAGACAGTAAACTGTTTATTACTGTGTGGACACAGACACCGTGGTGCATGACAGACAGTTTCAACACCATGAGCGCTGGGGACAGAGCTGCGCCTGGACAGCTCTGCGGTGTGCAGTGGCGCCACGCCGGGCCGGCGGTCACTGCCAGCTGAGGCGTTAACAGCGTCACCTGGGAGAAAACCTGGAAACCGTCTAATGAAGCAGGTGACTTAGGGGCATCTCTCTAGAAACCCAAAGAAATGTACCTTAAATAAGCAAATATAAAACACAAAAAAGATGAGCAGACCTGGTGTTCTGTGTCAGGTAGAATCTAAAAAACCCAGGAGTTGCACTTGGTTTCCTCACTGTAACGTGTGGTCACAGGTCAGGACGTTTCACGGCAGCGCGCCCAGGCTCCTGTGCGTGCTCCGGTGCACTAGAGTCTGGGGCTGGCTGGGCTCCTGGCTGTCCTCTGTCGCCGGATGGGCTCGACGTCTCAGCGCTGCGAGGCAGGCCCCTTACGTGGTGCTGATCCCGCTCAGCTCCTGCCTGATGGCTGCGGGACAGGGGGCGGCAGCTCAGGTGCAGCCAGGACCGTGCAGCCTGGCTCATCAGGGCCCTGCACCCCTGGTGTGGACCTGCCTGGTATCTGCCCCGCTCCATCTCCAGGGAGCCCCACCCAGGCTATGGCGCAGACCTCTGGGGTGACGACAAAAGGCTTTGGGTCTCATCTGCCATTCCTCCTGCGGTGGCCCCTGCTGTCACTGCCCTTTTAGGGGAGGACCTGGCATGGAGACAGAGGCTGATGCCCTGCCTGTGGCCTCATTGCTGCTGAGGAGTGGTGGGCACTGGAACCCTGGTGTGAGGAGCTGCTTTGTGTGGGGACGCAGGGTCTTTGTAGGCTCTGGACAGGTGGGTGTCCAGGTGCCGGGGGCCCGGGACCCCTTCCCCCAACATAGTGGAGGCCGAGGCTCTGCCCTTCCAGCTCCTACAGGGGTCAGCAGGAAATCTTGGCCCTGGACCCCAGGGACCACCCTGGCTCTGCTCACTCCTCAGGAGAGGCGGAGCCTCTCGTCTTCTTGCCTCCTCCCCGCTTCCTCACCACCCCAAGCTAGTGCACCAACCCCCTGCCTCCCAAATTTGGGCCTTTCCCTCCTTCCTCTGGTATCCATCCCCTCCCGGACTCCCCCTCCTCTGTCAGCTCAGGCCTCTCCCTGGATGGACCTTGCTGGGCCAAGAGCCAACAGCTAGGAGAAGGTGAGGGGTGGTGGGGGCAGGTATCCCCCAGCAACAGGGAGCTGCTTCTCAGGGCCCCTGGCATAGCCCCTGCCTCCCCCTCCCCTGGCTCTCAGCCAGGGTGGCCTCCACCTGGGGCTGCACCACGGCAGGTGGAGAGGCTGTGGTGGGCCCTGAGTTTCTGACCCAGCTGTGCCTGGGGCCGGATGGCGCCTGGCAGTAAGGTGGTGTGACCAGTTGGCTGGGTGCCTGCCTATCGCCCAGGCTGCCTCTTTCCCCTCGTTTGTTAACTCCTTATCTCCCCAGCCCAGGCCTTTGGGGGAACTGGACAAACAGGAACTGAGTGCTCTCTGCTCAAACAAGGGTGGGCCGGCTGCGGGAGGAGGCCTGGGTCTTCGGACTCCCACCTGCCTCTTACCTCTGCCATCAGCCTCCACCCCTGTGTGCTTGTGGGACCCTTTTGCCCAGGTCACTGTGATGCCCTGGGGGCCAGACTCAGCTACACACCTAGGTGTCAGCCTTCGTCACCCTGGTTGGGGAGGCAGGTGGGGGAGCTGGCACAGGCTGTGCTGCACAGCTCTGTCCCCTGAGTCTGCCCTGCCCAGACTCCCCCTTTTCCTCTGGCTGCAGATCTGAGCCAGTGCGCTCAAAGGCTCTGGTGGAAACCAGAAGGACGGATGTGATGCATTGAGGCCCGCCCTGCTCTGGAGCCAGAGGCTGCTCCCCGCCTGCGCCCCAGTCCAGGACCAGGCAGATTGTGAACGAGCTCAGGCCTGGAAGGTGCTTCTGTAGTGCTTGGTCTCCCTGTACCCACAGGAAGGCAGAGTGGTCCCCTCAGAACCCCAACACCGGTGACTCGAGGTGGCAGTATCAAGAAGGCAACATAAACCACCAGGGGGTGAAATGACAGCAGCTCAGGTGGCTTCCTCCAGACCTGGCTCTGGAACGACGCTGGGGTCTCCCCTCCATGCACTTCCCACGTGGGTCTTCCAGGAGGGTGCAAGGGTGTGAAGGTCAGATTCAGGTGTCACACCACCAGGGAGCTACAAATTCTTAGGCAAGCCACTGAGCTTTCCTGAGCCTGTTTCCTCAAGTAGAGATTGTAAGAAGAATGAAATCTCTCACAGGGCCCAGTACAGCATGGGCTTCGGCTCAAAGCTGCAGGTCCCCACCCTGGGTGACAGGGACCCTCGTCCTGTGGCCCCGCCTGGGGCTCCACTCACCGTCAATGATCTCTTCCTTCACCTTGTGGAGCTCTCTGACCACCTCCTCTAGGATCTCCTGTTGGGAGAGGAGCGTCCAGGTGAAGGGACAGGCAGTGGAGACAGAAAAGCCGGCCTGGGCTGGGCTATGTCCAAAGGGTTCGGGGCCTCCTGGGCCTCTCCAGAGTTGCATCTGTCACCCTCGTCTCCTCGTGACCCCTTCCCACGCTGAGGGGGAACGGTGTGGGAGGCCTGGGAAAATCCTGCCACCACCTCCCTCAGGTAGACACCACTGAAACTAAGGGCTGCCTCGGGGCAGAAAGCCTCAGAGACAGGCCTGAGGGAGGTGCCCAGAAAGGTTGAGGGACATCCTAATTCTGGTGATGGCAGGGGCTGGGGATGAAGGACAGGCTTGGGCACCCCCTTTCCTCCACGGCTGTTCCTTGACTGGCCTTTTGGCAGCCACGTGTGGGCCCCCAGGGCCTGCCTGGCCGTGCTGGTCAGACGGTCCCCAGCCTACTGGCTGCCCTCGGCCTCTGAGGGAAGGGCACAGGGCACGCTCACCTGCTTCATCCGGTCCAAGTCGAAGGCATCCAGGGCCATGTCATTCACGCTCCCAGCAGGCTTCATCCTGGGAAAGGGCGGGTGCGGTAAGTGGGAGCAGGGCCTGTGGGTGCCCTGGCTGGAGATGGGTGTGGGGGAAAGCTGGTTGTGCAGAGGCCGCGCTCAGGCCGGGCCCACCTGCTCCCCTCGCTCCACAGAGGCTGCTTGCTTCGGACTCTGGCCGCCTCAGACCCAGTCTCTACCTGGAGAGGTCTCCATGGATACTGTGACCATATTTCCCAACCCGAGAGCCAAGGCTGGCTGGGGTCAACAAAGAAACTGCTTTCTGATCAGAGAGCTCTTACACAGAGGTGGCAACTTAAGTGACAACATCGCACCCACCCGCTGCCTCCCTGGAAAGAAAAACAGTATTGACAGCCTCCTCCTCAGGCTGGGAGCTCATGCTCCAGGTTGAGCCGGGGCTCGGGGAAGCAGCAGTGGCAGCAGGAGGTACAATGTGAAGTTGCAGAGTTGACACCAGCCTGGAGGCGCGCTCCTGACACACACCAGCAGCCCCGGTGCTGGAGCCAGCGTTCGATCTTGGCTCACTGCAACCTCTGCCTCCCAAGTTCAAGTGATTCTCCTACCTCAGCCTCCCAAGTAGCTGGGATTACAGGCATGTGCCACCAAGCCCAGCTAACTTTTGTATTTTTAGTAGAGACGGGGTTTCACCATGTTGGCCAAGCTGGTCTCGAACTCCTGACCTCACGTGATCCACCCCCCTGGGCCTCCCAAAGTGCTGGGATTATGGGCGTGAGCCACTGCACCTGGCTGGTTTTGCTCTTCCGGGGTAGTTTGCATGGACCACTTCTTTGAAAAGTTTCTGAACTAAGATAACTGATTTGAATTTTATTTTTATTGATCTGAGACAGGGTCTCACTGTATCACCCAGGATGGAGTGTAGAGGCGTATCATGCCTCACTGTAGCCTCAACCTCCCAGGCTCAAGTGATCCTCTCACCTTAGCCTCCCAAGTACCTGGGACTACAGACATGTGCCCTACTTTTTAAAAATTTTATCTGTAGAGATGAGGTCTCACTGTATTGCCCAAGCTGGTCTCGAAGTCCTGGGCTCAAGTGATCCTCCCGCCTCGGCCTCCCAAACTGCTAGGATGACAGGCATGAGCGCCGTGCCGGCCTGATTTGAATGTTAATGTGTCACATATGCACCTTCCCTGGAAGATCTTGGCAAAATGCTTGTCTATCTGGTCTTTTCAACGTGACTTGGTGCTTGCTGCAAGACACACTGCTGGGACCCAAGTTCCCTCCCACATGGACAGGATGGAGGCTGGAGCCCATGGTTTCAGGGAAACGTATGTGGCATGAGCCCCTGGGTGTGACCACGGGCACAACACATTTATCTGGCAGGGCCAGCCTTGGCTGCTGAGGGGTTACGGGCACAGATGAGGACCATCTGGTGACTCTGAGGACCACTGTTGCCCACAGCCAGGGAGAATAAGGATGAAGAATGCGTGTTCCCACACCCTCCAGATGAGCTCAAGAAAGAGTTGGCCAAGCGTAGCCCTAAATAGGTCTGTAATTCTGGGTCCTGAGAGTCAAACGCATCCAGTCAGAGGCCCCTGGGTCCTTCAGGCCTCTCCTGTGGGTTCCAGACCCTATTCCAGCAACAACTGCTGGGACACCTGGGCCGACTGCTCCACCTCGCCAGGCCCTGGCCCTCTCCATCTGCAGCCCTAATAGCCACCCAGCGAGAAACCCAGCAGGCTTCCTAAGCAAGGCAACACACCAGAGGGGTGGTGGTACATGCTCCCCTTGGAGCCATCTGGAAATCACAGATTTGTCTCAGAGCTGAAAAGAGACCCTATTCCAAGCATGAATGGCCTTGACAATGTTCCTGCCCAGTGAGCGACCCTTGGCCACTCACAACATGGCAGCCTGCCTTTGCTGCACCAGCAGGACAGGGCGGGGTCCACTGGGAGCGCTGCAGGCTCCCCCTGCGGCTGTATCTGCTCCAGGGCCCTCGCTTTGCCCACTCTGGTTGCCTTCCCCTCCCCAGCCATCATCATGGCACCCTGTGCCTCAAGCTCCTTGACGGCCCTGCACATGAATACAATGTAAACTTCTAACTCGTTGCTCCCTCACACCCTGCACATGAATACAATCTAAACTTCTAGCTCAGCGCTCCCTCACACCCTCTTCCTCACCCTTCCCGTCCCCCCGCCCCATGGCCTGCTGTCTACTCTGAGGTGTGGGAGAGCTCGCGGGTGGCTGCAGGCTCAGGGCCCTGGCACTTACCCTTCCTTCTGCTTGGAAGGCTGTCCCCATGATCTCCGTACAGCAGACTCCTCCTCGTCCGGGTCAACGAAAATGCCAGCTCCCGGCAGAGGCCTGCCCCACCCCACTCCCCAAAGCACCCTGTCCCTTCCACCATGTGGCCCCGCACCCTCTCCAGAGCACCCCTCAGGACCACAGTGGCCTTGATCACGCGGTGCTCTTTGCAGGCAGGGACTGTCCCCAGCACACGGCCCGGCTGACCATAAGCCTTCGACAAACCCCAGCTGACTGCTAAGACCGCCTCACCTCTGTCCACCTGCACTGGTCTTGGCATTGCTGCCAGGGCCAGGCCAGGCTCTGCTCTGCTCGCCACCTGTTTAGCTCTGCAAGGCCAGTTTCAATGCCTCCTGCTCTGTGACAAGGGTGGTTTCCCTTCAACTTGTGGTGGCAATGGAGACATTCTTGATGCAGGTTCCAGAGGCCTTCAAATTCAGGCCAAATGTGCCTCCAGATACTATGTGGCTGGCTGCCTCTGCCTTTTTGGGCAACCTCAGTTCCAAATGTTCTATCATGTTGTCATGCCAGCTTTTGACTCGGGAAATATGGTCAGCATGTCTGTGGGGAAACTGGCTCTGTGTGCTGGACGCAGAGGAAGGACTCTGGGCTGGAGGAAAGGGGTGGGGCTCAGGGCCAGAGATAGGACTAGTTGAACTGCAGTGTGCGGCCCTGGCTAGTGACCACACTCCATGTCCAGCTGTTGTTTGCATAGCTGTCCCCACCACTGCCCTGTGCAGCAGGGGTTAACACACCTCACTTTGTGGGGGGGGGAAGAGAGGCTTGGAGAGGCCACCTAACTTGCCCACTGTCACACGTAGTGAGTCCAGAGCTGGGACTCCAGGTTGGCACCCTGCACTACCTCTGTGGACAGGTCACTGCCCTCCTTGGTCACTGCCCTCAGAGGGAGGAGGAGGAGCTGTCAGGACCCCAAGGTCCTGGGTCTGAAAGGACAGATCATCTTCCCAGAGCAAGCTGTTAAATGCCAGGACGTGAGACAAGGTGCAAGGGTGTTAGTCACAGGATGGGGGACAGAGGAGCCCCAAACCCTGGGGAACATGTGAGCAGGAGGGTTGTTCGGTACCTAGAGTGAGGCTGCGACTGAAGGGGGCTCTTAGCTTCGGGGCTCTTAGCCACAGACGGGGTTCTACGGCAATGGAATGAAACAGACATGTGAATCGGCGCCAGCGCCCACCTCGGCCCCACCAGCCTCACCACTCAGGCCTTCCCGGGGCAGCTCACCTGGACAGAATCGAGGACACAGGTTTCTCCACCGAGTTGCTCCGCTCCCAGGGCTTCCGGCCAGCCTCTGTTAATTCATTTCATGGATGAAGAACCTCACAGCTGAGAGGACTCAGTAGCCACCCCAATCCCCTAAACATCCCAACAGGAAGCCCTCACCCATGCCGAGGGTGCAGAGCCCCGTGGCACAAAGGTCTGATGTGAGTCGAGCCAAAACCTGGCTCCTTGTTCTCAGTCCCCTATGGCCTAGGTCAGGTTGACCCTGACCTGTCACCTGGTTCTGAGGCCTTCACTGTGCCAGGTCTCTCTGGAACGTGAGCCTGCTGGTAAGGGACCCAGTGACCAGAGCCACAGGGTGAGGAAGCAGGACCTCCCCGGACATCCCAGCACAGCCTTGCTCCCACATGTGGTGCGGCGGCCAGGCCCCTTAGCCTGCCACCTGCTACTGAGGGGCTCCTTAGTCTGCCCCCAGTGCTGCGCCTGGCTCTGTCCCATGCTGGCTGGCTTGTCTTTTCTTTTTTAAGGTAAGTGGTATTGGGTTATATTTTGTTCTACTCCAAAAGATTTGTTGCATTTGTTGCATTAAAAAGATTTGTTGACTTTGCAGGATGAGCAGAGGCAGAAGACAAAATCTCTAGGGGTAGTGGGGCAGCTGCCTGGCCCCGAGCTGAGCCTTGGCACCCTGCAGACCAACTGTGGGACGGAGGCAGTTTTCCACAAAGCCACCTTCTGGGACAGGCGCTGGGCCTGCAGGCACTAGACCTGGGGCTACAGACATGTCCCAGGTGTGTGGCCTTGAGCAAACCACTTTCCACACAGATGGGAACCAGGGAGCCCACTCACTGGACTGTTGGAAGCAGCAAACAGGGCGGGGCATTGATCACGTTCATCAACCAGAGGAGGCAGACCAACATGCCAGGCAAAGTCTTTGGAGGAGAGGACATGGGGTGCAGTCTCACAGGGAGGCGACACCCAACCCGAGCATGCCCGAGAGACACACACGTACAGCTGGCAAGAGCCTCCTCTGCCCAGCTAGGGCAGCCTGACGCCCCTGCCTCTCCTCGCTATGCTCACGAGCACAGGCCTGGCACAGAGCAGGTGCTGCAAAAATGGCTGTCGAATGAACAACCCTGGGGTCTTCCTCCCACTGCGAAGCCTCATCATACTCTCCTAACTACCTCCCATCTGCCACAGCTTAGACAGAGAGAAACCTGAGCCAGGGAAGGGGCTGCGTTTCGGGTGGAGCAGGATCTACTGCCATCTCTGTAATGTCAGTCATCAGCTGGTGTTTCACCGGGAGACATGAGTGCTGACAATGACACTGCTTAAGAGCACTGGCCCCGGCTAGCCTCAGGAGCCCTGGACACAAACTCCCACCCTGGGTATGTGCTATCAGGCAAGTGCCTTCCCTCATGCGGGACTCAGGGTCCTGGTGGGAAGGTGACGTGCAGGTCACCCTGGGGGCCCCTCAGTGGGTCTGCTTTAGCACTTCCTGTGCTCCTGCACGGGCTCCTCGGGGAGGCTCTGGAGGACCCTTAAGAACTGGGCCTCCCAGCGGCCTGGCCCTCTGCTCAGGCATACTAAAGAGGCTGGATCGGAGGGTCCTCTCAGAAGGGTCCCCCCCTCCCACTCTGAGACCTCATGCCTCAGTGGGGTCAGCGGGGGGCGCCCTCTCACCTGAGGAGTTAGGTGGCTGGCTGGCTGCTCGGGTCCCCGGAGAGGGGGAGGTACTAGGATCTTCCTAAAATGGAGAAGAAGGAAGTCTGTTTAGGAAGGCCACCTGGGGCTAGGACAGGACATCACTGGACACTTCATTAAACCTGTTTTCCAAATGTCCCCAGTGAACACACATGACTTTTATAATTAGCAAAACATTAAATATTTAAAAGTGAAAACTCAAAATCTCAGTGGGGAGTGAATCGAGCCAGTGGACAAACCTGGGGAAGGGAAGGCTGCAGGGAGCTACAGGTTCTCTGCAGGGTGATGCAGAACTTCCTTCTGCCCCTCAACACCCCCAAGCCCTGAGCCCGCCGTGGGCCGGATGCCTCCCGTGTGTCATCTCGCTGACTTCTCGTGAGCACCCCGTGGAGTGGCCTGCTCCCCCTGTGCAGCACACACACCTGCCCGTGTAATAGGTCTGTGGCAATGCTCGAATAGCGGACATGTTCACCCAGCAGTGGAACACCTAACACTCATCATGCACGGCATGTGCGTCAGGACGATTTTTCAGTATCAAGCACGCGCCACTGATTAAGTATTAAGAGTAACCCTTCCATTGACGGAGCAGGATGCACAGCATTCAAGCTGCTGACAGGCGGCCTCCCAACCTGACGTGTCATTCCACTCCGAAGCAAAGAACCTCTGTCACCGTGGCAGAGGTCTTTGCTTTGTCTCCTCTGCTCACTACGTCCCCACACGAGAAGAGGCCTGGCACCTATGAGGAACACTCTGCGTATCTGTGTGGTGAATGAGTAAGTCCTGGGGGGCTCTGGTTGAGAGGCAAAAGCAGGTGCCAGGCTGCAGGTGTTGGGATGAGGTCCTTAGGCCTCCTCATTTTAAAGACAGCTGAATAACAGATTATGTCAATCAACACACACGTGTGGGGGCCACGATGCAAGCTATATAGGGTGACATCAGAGTCACTAAAAAATTATCATCTTTTCTCGTATGTTTTTTTTTAAACCCTCCCTGCTTAAAAGGGAAGTTATGCTTCGACTCCAGGCTGGGAAAGAGGGGGCCGCAGCACTCCCCGGCCCTGGGCACAGAGGCTCGCATCCCTCCTCTGGCAGTCGCAGTCTGTGAGGCAGCCGTGCCTGGCGTGCCTGGGTGCAGGTTTTCAGGTGGTAGAACTGGTCCTCGGAGCAGTAACTCCATTGGCCCACGGCCAGCTCTGCCATGGCAGAGTGCCTGCCCAAGTCACCGGACTCCACATTTGGGGCTCTTTTCATCTTTCAGAGAAGCCTTCTTTCTTCTCTGTTAATGATAAACATAGTGCATGTTCACTGCAGAGAATCGGTGAAATACCGGGAAGCATAAACAAGAAAATGAGCGCCGGCCATCAGCCTCTCTCCCTCCCACTGTACTTGTTTGGTGCGTGGATCTTCTGAAGGCCCTGCTCTCTTTAGAGGCTAGTCCCGAGTGTGAGAAGGGACCATGGCAAACAAGAACCAGCTGGAGCCAGGGGCCTATCAACAAGAGAGAAAAGATAGGGGTCTGAGGAGGAGAGTGCCATCCTTGGGGTTGAAGGTTTCAAGAATGTTCCTCTTCTAGAAGCCCCTGGGCTTTGAAATCCATTCTTAGAGCTCGAGGAGTGAGTTTCAGTTTTCAGGGGCTGGGACTGCAACATACTGGCACCTGATTAAGAAAGGCCAGCAATGTCTTCGGAGCCCCAGGCCTGTGGCTGGAACCAGGCCACAGTATTTTGATGTCTGTGATTATGCTGTGGCCTGCAATTTCAGAAATTAATGGCAAGTCAGTTGGCTAAACTCCACAGCATGTGCAAGGTACGGAAATGGTGGACGTGAGAGAAGCCCAGGCCTGGCCCTCCAAGGGCCTAAGATCTGGCAGGAGACAGTGAGTCTGCACAAGCAACCGTGCCTGTGCTGAGGGCCTGGGGAGAAGACCAGGGCTGGGATCAAGTAGTGAAGAGCTTGTGAGGCCTGGGGGTCGGGAGGCTGTTTTTTGTTGTTGTTGTTGTTTTGTTTTGTTTTTGAGATGGAGTCTTACTCTTGTTGCCCAGGCTGGAGTGCAATGGTGCGATCTCCGCTCACTGCAACCTCTGCCTCCCAGGTTCAAGGAATTCTCCTGTCTCAGTCTCCCGAGTAGCTGGGATTACAGGCATGTGCCACCACACCCAGCTAATTCTATATTTTTAGCAGAGATGGTGTTTCACTATGTTGGCCAGGCTGGTCTCAAACTCCTGATCTCAGGTGATCCATCTGCCTCAGCCTCCCAAAGTGCTGGGATTATAGATGTGAAGTGTTGCGCCGGCCGGGAGGCTGTTTTTTAAGGAGTAAGGTTTATGCAGAGAAGTGCAGGCTGAATGGGAGCTGGCTAGTGGGGTAAAGGGACCCTTATGTGCCCAGGACGGGGCTGAGAGGTGCGGATCAGCTGGGAGGGCTATAGCCTCAGGGTAACACCAGCATGACCCTGACTAATGGGAGGACAGGGCAGGAAGCCTACTCTGGTTCCTGGCAGTTGTATTTCCTCTCTCATTCTGCACTGAGGTGGAACCTTTAAGGCATTTGTAGTTAAGGCTAAACTTAGCCCTGTCAGTAGCAGTCTTTTTATAGGAAAAGCTTAACACAGAGGAAAAGAGAATTAGCTGCCCTAAGTGGAAGCAGATGTTGGGAGTTCCGGCAGCCAGGCTGGCTCTGGGCTGCCTGCTAAGGACAAGAGCTAGGGGTCCAGGGCTCCTTTGCCACAGCTCACCTGAAGCTCCTGCTGGAAGAGAGGTCTTTAGAAACAGAAATAATTTGAAAATAAAAACCTCTCTGGGCTTCTGGCAGACGTGCCCCACTGCAGTGTACTCTTGGAGTCCCAGTTCCGACGAGACCCTGGCTGGTCCGTGCTCCCTGGGGCTCCTGGGCAGGCGAAGTAGCCCTGCGGTGCAGTGCCAGGGCCCCAGGTTTCTCCCCTGTTGGGCTGCAGCTCCAAGGGTGGAGCAGTGTCTGGTCGGTGGTGCTCAGTGAGGGCAGGCCTGTCGCTGGGGCCAGGGTGGTGCAGGGCCAAGCGCCGCAGAGACCCTCCACCCCTCCTGTGAATCACCTGAAGAAGTGCCCATCCCACGCAGGTCCCAAAGGCCTCGCCTGAGATCAGAGAGCCTCCCTGCCGATGCACTGATCTCAGTGGGAAGCCTGAGGGTGGGGCAGGCTGCTTGCTCACCATTTGGCTTTCATCGTCCTTCTTCTCAGCTGGCTTGTCTGACTGGGAGGCTGCTTTTCTCCTAGGCACAGAGAAGGGGAAGATACAGATCAGCTCCTCACGTTCTCACACTGTCCCAGAACTCTTCTGCTTCCTCCCTGCCAGACCCACCCCAGCACTCAGATAAACCTGTGGGGGAAAATGACGGTGTGAAGGAGGCGGCTTGTCCAGGCCCCATCTGGTGAGGAGCCAGGCCCAGGCAAATGTCCAGGACCTCTGTGTGCTCATGGCCTGGGACATGAAACTGGTTTAGATAGAGAGGGTGAGATGCCTCTGTGTCTGTTTAGCTCTACTGGCGGCAGCTGTAGTGTCCGAGGGGTGGAGGGGAGGCGGGCGTGCTCTGTTCCCAGGACACCGAAGACCTGGCCACATGGGACAGAGAGGCACTTCTCTGGGCTGCAGTCTGTCACACAGGTCAGGACATTGGACACTTTCACCCTAAGGCCCTCGTGTCTCGGAACTCAGTTAACCTAGCCATGCCCTCCCCAATCTAGAATGCCACTCAGAGCCTGGAAATGCTCAGAAGAGGAGCCCTGGCATAGGTCCACGTGACGCCCTCCCCAGTATGAATCCCCGTTTCATGTACTCTAAAACCTCACCCACATTTTTTGGCCTCAGTGGTATCTGCTGACCTCCCAGGTCTACACAGGCAGACCCTCAGTGTTCCCCAGAGATAGGCTTCTGTAGCTCTTCAACTTGAGATGAGCTGCCCATCAAGCATGGAACTGGTCTGAGGTGTGGTGAGGGGCCGTGGCCTCTGTCTGTGGCCTGTCTGTGATGGGCCCAGCTGGCTCCCCCTTCTTTAGCTCTCATCTCAGGACAGGTCTGCCCACCTCGTCCCTCAGCCCAGAAACCAGGGAACCACCCCTGACACCAGCTTTTTATAACAGTCAGCTTGGTCAGTTCTACCTCTAAATCTGGGTACCCGCCTGTCTTTTTTGTCTTTACTTTTGACACCTTCCTGCATGCCCCCATCATCTCTTCCTGGACTGTCAGAGTCTCCTAACTGGCCTAGCCATGATCATTTTCACCTCACCAGCTGCCCCCAGCAGCTAGCGTCCCATCTCCTAGAAACAGAACGCTGACCAAGCCACCCGCTCGCAGGGGGTGTCGGTGGGAGGAGTGTCTGTGAAAGTGCTGCCAAACAGGGGCTTTCCGTCCACGTTTATTTCCCTCCTGTCCTCCACTACTGGCAGAGAGACTCAACTGCATGCCCTCAGAGGCAGGAGACAACCGACATGAAAAGAAACCTGGCAAGGGCATTGTCATGGTCAGCTCCACCCAGGAGCCATCCCTAAGGTGGATTTCAAAGAGCAACCTGATTGATCCCTGCTGAGCTATGCAAAGCATGTGTGTTCTCGGGAGGGCCTTGGCTCTCCCACCAGCATCTGGCATCTCACTGGCTCCTGGCAATACTGGCCTTTTCCTGTTCTCAGACAGAAAGGTGCTTCCCCGCAGCGTGGTCTAGGACTCAGGGAGAGCATTCATATTTTCTTTTCCAAAACGATTTCTATTTCTCTGTGGCCCATCCTCCCCTCTGAGTGCTCTGAGGTGGAACCCGATGCCCTGCACCAGGAGGCTCCCTCTTCCAGCCAGACCTTTGGTCCAGTTCCTCCACACCTAGCTCTCCAGGCACAGGGGGCGTCAGCCTTCCCAGCTTTACCTTAACTCTGCCCACTGTCCCTCTTACAGCACAGGACGTCCTCATCCTTCCGCGAGCCCTCCCGGCCTCTCCCCCATGGGGCCCTCCCGGCCTCTCCCCTGCGGGGCCCTCCCGGCCTCTCCCCTGCGGAGCCCTTCACCTCTGTGTGACCGCTGTCAGCCCTGCACACCTGGACTCACTCACAGGAAACTGCTCAGAAGCCTGCCTCCTGTCTTGGCGATTTACACACGCTGAGGCCGGTGCTGTGGATCCACCTTGCTGTTCCCTGACACATGCGGAGCCTCCCCTCCCTGCCATCTGTGATGCACGCAAAGAGGCCCTTGGCAGGAAACCCAGGCTGTGTCCCCGCCATGAAGTGCCACACCAGCTGCCTGCACCTGTGGGCCTCTGTCATCTCGCGTCATCCTCATGGAGCCACGGGAAGGTAATGAGAGGAACTAGGACTGCAGTGTGAAGACCCTGGGCACACACAGAGTTCTCACTTGGGTCAGCCAATTGGAAGGCAGCTGGGAGGGCCAGGAGAAGGTGACAGAGTGGCAGGGGGTGGAGGTTGGGTTACCAAGGGAACAGGGTCCCTGCTGCAGCTTCCTCTATTCTGGCAGGAGAGGCCTGCTCCTGTGCCCCCTGGTGCCTAGGTGAGCCACGATATTGGTAGTCCAAGGTGAGCACATTCCTGATGCCAAGTCATATTTTAAAATAAAATCCAAGCTTTGCATCCCTTTTGAGAAACACCTGGATGATCTCCCCACCTGCTCGGGTTTCATCTGGGGAACAGCAGAGAGCCACAATGGCAGGCTGCAGCCACACATGGCCAGGTCTCAGGCCCTACAGTCCGGCCGGGATGTAGATGGAACTGCTCTCTCCCCGTCACTCAGGGCAATGGCCTCTGGGCTCCCACCCTTCATAACTCCTCCTGAGTCCTCCATAATGAACCCTGGAGGATGGGGCGCCTTCACCACACATTCACCAGAGTGTCCTCTGCAAACTCGACCACTGTAGCCACATCTTATTTCTGTTAGGATCTTAAGAGCAAGGACTGTTCTTTTTCCTGCGTTTATCTTTGAAATTGTCTCCAAATTTATCTCTGCTCAGGACAGGGCTAGTACATGATAGATGCTTCAGGAAATACTTGCTGAGCTAAAATGAAGGATTTGGAGTTTAGAGGACTCCTGTGGGCTTGCTGCTTCACACTAAGCCCTTGGGAAGGGTAAAGTTAAGTAACAGTTTCCCCTGCTTCGCTAAACCCAGGGAACAAAGATTCTGGGGTCAAGCAAGGATTCTGTGTGCAGCACTGGGGGCCAGGAGCTTCCCACGAGGCACAACAAGCCTCGGGAGGTGTAGAGACCTACCTCTTGGCCAGCAGTTTGTTCATTTCCTCCATGAGGCCTCCTCCGCCACCCCCACTGCTTGCCCGGTTGGCATCGGACTTTGAGGTCCCACTGGGACTGGAGCCTCCAGATGCATCTTCTGGCTGAGGAAAAAGGAGGCCACGTTTTAGATTCTGCTGCTGATGGCAGAACAGGGAGCAGCAACCACGTGAGGGGATGCAGGTGACTATGTGCGTGTGAATCCTATGGCAGCAGCACTGCAAGGGGCCTCAGGGGCCATCTAGTCCATTATTCCCCAACCCCACAGGGGAGAAAACCAGAATCAACGGAGGGACAAGGACCAGCCCAGGTCACACAGGTCGCAGACACGCCCCAGCCTGCAGGCTCATGGTCAGTGTCTTTGCCAAGACCAGCCATGACACATGGCGGGAGGGAGGGAGGGGAGAAGAGACTGTTCTGTGGGAAGGAAACGCAATGTAAGCCAAAGGTCTGTATCAGAGCTATTCTTACAAGCACAGTTCCAGAACATATGAGCAAGGGTTAGGGAAGAAACAGCCAGGTGGACCTAGTTGCCAGGATACAGCTTTGTACAGTGGAAAGGGCAATGGACTTAGATTCAGGAGACCCAGGCTTGAGTCCAAAATCTGCTATTTATAAATGGTGTGACTTGCGCAAATTATTCAGCTTTTGTGCTTCCACTTCCTCATCTCTAAAGCGGGACATATTTCTGGCCCCACGTATGAAGGTCAATGTGAGGCTCAATGGCTAACTAAAGCACCTCATAATTTCAAATTGCTGTCCCATGCGATTTCTTATTTGAGAAAAAGGGGCCAAGGGCCAGCTAGCTTTGGGCAGGGAGGCAGTTTGCTCAGCATCTCACAGACGGGGGAAGGAATACAATCACTTTGCAGACGGCATAAGCGTCCCTCGGTCCCATTCCCGCCCCGCGCACAGGAGGTCTTACCCGTTGGACTCTTCTCAGCTTGGCCCCAGCTATGGCAGCGGCCAGTCCTGACATGGAGCTCTCGTCGTGGCTGGACCCCTGGGCTCCTCCAGCTGGCAGTGGGGGTGGGGGAGGTGGGGTAGCCCCTGTGGGTGGAGGTGGGACTGGGGGTGGGGGTGGTGGTGGAGGCCCACTACATGAGATGGGGGCGCTGGCTGCAGATGAGGGATGCCCTGGTGGGAGGATGGGCCCTGAAACGCAACAGTGAGGCTCAGCCAGCTCCAGCACCCAGCTGGGGGCTAAGCCTGCTGCTCTCAGCTCAGGTTTCCCAGAGGAAGGACAGAGGGCAGGCTGCTCCTCAGAGGGATGAGGAACAGCTCCAGGCCTGCTTCATCCAGGAAGCCCCCATGGGATGAACTTGGCTCTGGCACAATTATTCCCTATTCTGGTGTCCTCAGTACTCCGGGGCCTGGCTGGACCCACAGTGTCCTCTATTTGCTTAACATTCCTTGAGCCCAGGCAATTTCCTCTTGCTCCAATCATGTTTTTCCAGGGGGAGAGGAAGCTGGCTGGTTACAGTTTGTGCCTCTTCTCTTCTCTGCTCCTTCTAAGCACCTAGCATCCCCTAGGCAGAAGCTAGTCACCAAGATCCAACTGTGACTGACACTTGGTCTTTGGAGGCCGTGGCAGGTACTGTGGGTCCCAGGGCCAACTGGGGGCGCGGGTCAGGGCGCAATGCTGAGTGCTGGGCTCCAGCATCATCCATCCAGCCCCCTCCACCAGTGCTGCCTGAGCCTGTTTTGTGCCAGGCAATGTGCTAGGTGCTGGGTATGGTGCCGGGGAAAACCAGCCACAAGCTCTCTGCTCAGGGTGCTCACAGCCTGTGAGGAACAGTCAACGAATTGCACGGGTGAATGCAGATGGAGGACTGTGGCAAGCTGACAAGTGTTACCAAGGGCAGGCACACGGCGCCATGTTGGTATACAAAGAGGCGCCCCAGCCTGGCCAGAAGTTCACGGAAGACTTCCTCACAGAAGTAACTGTGGAGCTGGGACATGACTGGAGAGCAGGGGTTCAGTTAGGTGAAGAGGCGGAGGCAAAATGTGAGGAAAGAGGAAAAGGATGGAAAGTGCTTGAGGCACTAGAGGGAGAGAGGGCGGGCACAGGCTGTTCCAAGAGTGATGGGGAAGGCACGACATGATGACAGTGTCAGACCTGCATCAGAAATGCAGAGTGGCTGGTGGGGGGGCAGGAAACCTGCAGCAGTTAGGTGGAGGTGATGGGGTCAGTCAGCATCTCATGAGCAGGGCGCTCCTGTAACCAGTAAGGGCTCGAGTTTCTCATCAGTAAACAGGATAACAGTCACCTGCTCACTTCATAGGGTGTTTGAGAAAATGAAACAAGACAAAGAACATGACAGCGCTTGGTGAATTATCTAGTCCTTTGTCTACCAGTGAACACGACCATTTCTGGAAAAGCCTTGTCCTTCTCCTTTAATGTGCTAAGCTCCACCAAACGTCCCAGACGGACGCGTGGCAGCACCTCCTGTGGGAAGTCTTCCCTGACCCAGGGTGGGCCTTCAGCACCTGCTCGTCACTTGCCACAGTGTGCGCTATGTGACACGGCAAGGGTGGGTTCGCTGTCTCCTTGACTGGACAGTGGGCTCCCTGAGGGCAGGAACTGCATCTGCAGTCGTAGTCATGTCCCCAGCCTTAGCACGGTGCCTGAGACACGGGAAGTGCTGGCTGAATGTCCACTCCGGAGGAGGTTGGTGGGCAGTGGCCAGACCCAGCTGAGCAGACTCCCCAAGCCTCTGCTCTGCTCTCTTTGCTACCCTCACCATCTGAAGTGGCGGTCGCACTTTGAGACCTAGGCTCCCCATAGCTACTCACACAGCGCCCCGTGTGTCCCTGGGCCTCATCTACGTGGAGGGGCTACCACCCGGCACCAGCATGGGAGTCAGCCCTAGGGGAGGAGGGCTCTCACCTGTGGCCGAGGTTCTTCTTTCTAGAGATTCCTGACGCTGCTGCTGGTGCTGCTCCATCACTTGTCTGAAAAGCAACCACAGCGGGGCAGTCTGACTTCTCCACACTGGAGAGCACACTTGGTGCCTGCGCTGCGCCCACAGGCCCCGGCTTCAGAGTCAGGTTTCGCCAGTGCTCCACAAGCACCACGGTGTGCCACAGCTGCCTCTACTTAACAGGAGGGGGATGTGGCTGGGTCCAGCTCCCGAAATGGGAGCACCGGCTCTCTCCTGAGTCTCAGGCACACTGAACACAGAGCTCCTCATGGAAGGCCAATGTGATTCCACTCCCCAGAGTGACCAAGCTCTTCCCTGGGCTAGATGGGCACATCTGGCTTTTGGGGGCCTGTGGCCTCAAAAGACCCAGTCTCAGGAACGCCTATTCTTAGGACCTGGCCAAGCTTCCTGGCACAGTTCTCAGGTGTGTTAGTTGCCAGCAGAAATGGACACAAAGGCTACACTTCTCATTTTCTTTACCACAGACCGGCCACAGCCCGCCTTCGTCTAGGGGGCCGTTTGGTATGCTGTGGCACACTGCTACGTGCACCACAGTGGGAACTCACATCCCAGTTCCTTATGGCAGAGTGGCCTCAGGGTGCTCTTAAAGGCAAGATGAATGAGGACACTGAGCCCCAGATACATCCACAGAATCCAGGGACCGACTTCTGGAGTGAGAGGCACCTTAAGAAATCATGCAGGCCACAGACAGCATCAAGAGCTCAGCTGGTGTGGTGCAAACTGAACACCTGCTATGGAAACACAGGGTTAAGGACTGCTCTGAAGGCAGCTCTGGGCTTGGTGGGAGTGCCAGAAACATCTATTTCATGGGGTTCTTGTAGGGTATATGCCTTAACTAAAACATTATGGAATGCCCGGGTGCAGTGGCTCACACGTATAATCACAGCACTTTGGGAGGGTGAGGCGGGCGGATCAGGAGGTCAGGAATTTGAGA